AACGTTTACACGCTGGAAACGATGATCATCGGAGAGTTCGTGAGTCACTCAAACACCTTCTTTATGGAGTTTTTCCATATTCCTTAGATGTTTACATATTGTTTCATGAGAGACATGCAATTTCAGGTCCATTTCACGAGTGTGTGTTGCCTTGGTTTAGACTCAACAAGCGTCTTCAAAGCATCAATATCAATTCCAACATGTCGACCCCTGCTATCACAGTTTTTAAGGCTGAAGTCACCTGAACAAAATTTGCTGAACCATCGTTGACACTTACGAACGTTCAAAACATTTCCATAAACGTTTTTGATATTCTTTGTGGCTACAGAGGCATTGTGTCCCTTCTTGTTTTCAAACAGCATTACATGCCGAATGTGTGCCTCGTCGTGTGTCATCACTATAAGGGATTAGAGTATACTAAACTTGAAACATTATATAGGCTACACTAACGTGACGTTTAGGCAGTTTGTTTAATTATAAACTCGTAATCTGAGGGTCGCGGGTTCGAATCCCCGCCACACCAAATATGCTCGCTCTTTCAGCCGTAGGGGCGTTATAATGTGACGGACAATCCCACTATTCGTTGGTAAAAGAGTAGTCCAAAAGTTGGCGGTGGATGGTGATGACTAGCTGCCTTCCCTCTAGTCTTACACTGCTAAATTAGGAACGGCTAGCGCAGATAGCCCTCGTGTAGCTTTGCGCGAAATTCAGAACAAACAAACAATCGTTTATTTATTATACGTGATGTACGTTTTTGGGGTGGCGGTTAATGAAAGTGTTTCAAAACGCGACATTAATTTCTTGACGACCTAATACATTATCCAACTGAGGTCTAGAACTTTCTACAAACTACGATATGTTATAATGTAATAATATTAACTTGAGGCAACGAGAAAAATACAGGAGGCTAGAGTTATGTGACGTCAATTTATAACAACACAACTACACACATAGCGTAGAATCTTACCGAGTTATGTACCAACAATTGTCATAAATATCGCCTTTAAAATAATTTATTTTAACACTCTAGGATATGAAATCTAAATAATCATTAAATATTAGATCACTAAATAAACTAAATAGTCTTGTATATCCAACAAACATAAACAATCTGGACCAAAGCTCAATGAAATTATGAAAATATTTAAGTTGTGTCTATGTAAGAGAAACCACGTTCACAGTCTGTGTATTATCATCAAAGCAACATGATATATAAGTTAGTAACACATCCTTAGTCTGTGTATTATCATCAAAGCAAGATGCTATATAAGTTAGTAATACACCCTTAGTCTGTGTATTATCATCAAAGCAGCATGCTATATAAGTTAGTAACACATCCTTAGTCTGTGTATTATCATCAAAGCAACATGATATATAAGTTAGTAACACACCTTTAGTCTGTGTATTATCATCAAAGCAAGATGCTATACAAGTTAGTAACACATCTTTAGTCTGTGTATTATCATCAAAGCAACATGATATATAAGTTAGTAACACACCCTTAGTCTGTGTATTATCATCAAAGCAGCATTCTATATAAGTTAGTAACACATCTATAGTCTGTGTATTATCATCAAAGCAACATGATATATAAGTTAGTAACACACCCCTAGTCTGTATATTATCATCAAAGCAACATGCTATATAAGTTAGTAACACATCTTTAGTCTATGTATTATCATCAAAGCAACATGATATATAAGTTAGTAACACACCCTTAGTCTGTGTATTATCATCAAAGCAAGATGCTATATAAGTTAGTAACACATCTTTAGTCTGTGTATTATCATCAAAGCAGCATGATATATAAGTTAGTAACACACCCTTAGTCTGTGTATTATCATCAAAGCAGTATGCTATATATGTTATTAACACATCTTTAGTCTGTCTAGTATCATCAAAGCAACATGCTATATAAGTTAGTAACACATCTTTAGTCTGTCTATTATCATCAAAGCAACATGCTATATAAGTTAGTAACACACCCTTAGTCTGTCTATTATCATCAAAGCAACATGCTATATATGTTATTAACACATCTTTAGTCTGTCTAGTATCATCAAAGCAACATGCTATATATGTTATTAACACATCTTTAATCTGTCTATTATCATCAAAGCAACATGATATATAAGTTAGTAACACACCCTTAGTCTATGTATCATCATCAAAACAACATGCTATATATGTTATTAACACATCTTTAATCTGTCTATTATCATCAAAGCAACATGATATATAAGTTAATAACACATCTTTAGTCTGTCTAGTATCATCAAAGCAACATGCTATATATGTCATTAACATATCTTTAGTCTGTATATTATCATCAAAGCAACATGCTATATATGTTATTAACACATCTTTACCTCAGAGTGTTGATCAAATGAACGGGAAGGTAGCACAAGCCAAATATTACAACTACTGCAATTAACATTTTAGCAGCTTTGCGTCTGGATCGTATTTGCCCATCACAGTTAGGATTCACTGGATCAGAATCTGGAGTCCTTCTTCTTCCTGTTGCTTTAAGGTTTCCTGTAGAGAACATTTAAGGGGAAAACACTGAATAATCTTACAATTACTACTAATTTTTCTGTGTTAAAAACTATACATAAGTAAAACTTTTCACTAATACAGTATCTAAACAAAACAATATGTCAGGGTTTAAGGAATCAAATTGAACTTTATCTAGACTTTGTTTTGGTTTTATTTACTAATGTGTCAGAGAAGAAGTGCTCAACACAACAAATCTGGTTAAGTGCCAGAATATTTTAGTCCTATAGATGAGATGAACTTAAGTGCTGTTATTTATTTCATATGTTGATCTGCATGTTTGTTTTATAAGATGTAAAACAAAATATATTTGCTTATTAAATATTCTAATACAGTGACTTCTAACCTTTCTTGACTGAAGACCCCTAAACTGATCCATTTGGGTCACCAAACTCTGTTATACGTCTAACAACACTAATATTCTGACTAGCGTTGTCTGTTCATTAATACCTTATCTTTGTTTTTATGTTATGTTTATTATTGGGAACTGACCAACCAATAAATTAAATATTTATACAGCTAGCACCAGATTTAAGATGTGTCAAACTGACAAAACTATAGCGAACAAATCAAAGAGACTGACAGCGTTGCCAACATTTATCAATACAGTAATTTGGTTTTAATAATTCATTTTTTATATAATATATTCATGTTTTTTTGTTTTTTTTTACGTTATCATAAACAACACATCGCGTACCCCTTCGTGGGTCTTTACATATTCCTACGAGTACGAGTACCTCCAACTGGGAATCAGAGCCCTATTTAATAAGATATGCTAACTATATTGCTCCATTTGCATGCTGTTGGCGTTAACTGGACGTAAAAACGTGGGGAAAATTAAATGCAAATGGTTGAATAAATAAAAGCAAAAACCATCGAGGATAATGAATTAGTTATTTAAAGCAACCAGATATAGCATTGCTTTCAGAAACAAAGTCTACATAACGTCTGTGACGTGTTTGTTAGAGAATGGCAAAAAACAAAATAAAATGGATCCTTAACTTTCAACTCCAGGCGATCTGGCAATGACGTAGTGCACACTAGCGTGTAAACATAATTAATAAGATAAGAAAAAACATAATTTAACCAGTGATAAACTTCTCATTAACAGAGTTTCGCCAGAACGCTTCTTCACGAATTCAACACCTTCTGGCACTATCAATTGTAAGTTTTGAAAAACAAAAACCTAACAAAAATTTAAAAGAACAACAGCAGTGTTTTCGCACACATGACCTCAAATGTGGACACGTTCAAACAGTGCAATTTAGTGGTGTTTCTACGTGTATTTAACCAAAGATATGCGAGTTAAAATTTACAAACAATACATATTCGCGTACAAAAGAAACAGATAAGAAATCCATCTTCAAATGTATACGAATGATGTAAAATGTGCACTCGACGACTCAAAAATAAGAATCAAAAATTTAAACAAGACAAACTAAGTTTATCAACATCATCCTCTATCCTCCTCAGTTTATAAGTTATTAGGGCTAATAACAAGAGTTTGTTTTTGTTGTTTGAAGTTAAGCACAAAGCTACACAATGAGCTATCTGTGCTCTGCCCACCACGGGTATCGAAACCTGGTTCCATGTCTGCGGACTTACAACGCTAAAGGTATCGAAACCTGGTTTCTAGCGTTGTAAGTCCGCAGACATACCGCTGTGCCACTGGTGGGGGCATTTCGTCAGAGAAAAGATCATATTAAACCACAAAAACACAAAAACATCATAAGTAGTTTCACATTAGAAGAAACAGGTTAAGTTTTTATTTTAGTACCAAGCTTCCGGTCCTATTCTGAGGACTGCCTTCAGAACAATTGAGCTCTGTACAGAATACAGAATTTTAAAAAAAGGTGTAACATTTGAGAACATTACGTATAATAACTTTATACAAAAAAATTCAGTTAGCCTGAAGGTAGTTCTAACAATAATACAGAAAGCGTGT